GGTCCGCCAAACGAAGCGATGCATCGGGGTGGGCAGTTGCGCACCAGCTGTGTGCCACTGTCAATAGAGAATGACCAGTGAGGCGAGCCGGGGAACACGTATTGACCTCCACAGGGGGTATACAGCAGGCTGTCCAGAACGGCAATTTTCACCCATCCATTATTCGGGGGGTCGCCAGCTGGGAGGTGTGCGCAATAACGCGCAAATGGATGTGAGTGAATGGTACACCGGATATCTACACGGCTGAAGATCTTAATCCGCACCTGACTGGGTAGTCTACACATATTCACGGAAGGGTCCATTTTGGATGTGGACTGCCTTCAAGCCTTCTGGAGCACCGTGGACCGCGAACAATATCCAGGACTCCTTCAATATTCACTTTTTTGTCAGAAAGTGATTATGGAATGGAATTTTTTCGCACTTCTCTATTCAAAAATGCGTTCTGGAACTACATCGGGGCTGACCCCCGCAAGTCATTCTATAGGCAATGTCCAGTACGATTTCAGTGGAAGCAGAAGCGTTCAACTTCCCGAAAAGGGATTGACCATCAGAGAATGTCCCATCCTTATCATCCCATTTGCCGGCTGAACTTAAGCCTGCGTCATACTTTTGCGGCAGCGTCCGCTTGCATTTCGAGCGTCTGGGAAAGTATAGATTCAATATGGCGTCTGCCAGCGTCTCCCAGCGTTCACCAGCGTCTATCTGCGTTCGGGAGAGGAGAGCATAGCGCGACAGGAAGGTAGCAGACGTTGTTATAGCGATGTAGTAAGAATAGCAGCATGCCGGATACGATGAACTATACTTCCTCAGGCCCTTAAACGACAATTCCCGCGATCAAGTGTTCGGGTAATTGGTGCTTAGCCACGAAGCAGTGGCCCATTTGTAACCCCCCACAGTGGAAAAAAATTCGAAAAAAACCTCCGCGAACACCCTGAACACAGACCTCCCTTTAGCAGTGGGGCGGGGCCTGGACGAGTGTGCCGGACGTGGCTGCCAGAAATCGATGCGGCAGCCGCAATTGCGTCCCGACTTTCGAAATAGGATACTTTAAAGGGACGGAAGCAGCTCGGGACCGGACGCCTCGTCCACCTACCGTGTCAGCGAGCCTAGCGAGCCTTGTGGAAATCGCTATAACTTCCTTATCGCGCCATATTGGGGGATGAAAGTGGTATCATTTTCGTCAAGGCGTAGAGGGTTCCAAAAAGCACGAAGTCATTTTGAGGACCACTTTGATCGCGGATAGTGTCTTCTTAAGCCGCCAATGGACGCTGGTGGACGCTGGCGAAATGCTGGTCGAGACGCTGGCACGGTGCTACGATCGTTACCGATACTGCTAGATCGATATCCTTTCCCAGTCGCTAACGCTGCCAGACGCTCGAAACGGTAGTGGACGCTGCGCAAGGTATGTTGTTCAAGTGAGGATGTCCGGAAAAAGATCTTTCGGGCGATTTCCTCCCATAATCAAATGTGACAGGCCTATTGCTCGGAAATTTCGTAATATGAAGTGCTTTTATGTTGTCATGGGAACAAATAGCCTTGTTGCACCATATACACTCGCTAGCACTGAAGTGAATCAGGGCGTGTCAGCGTGGTGTACTTTTTGGCGCGGTGCCAGCTCATTTCTTCCGATTCTTGCAGAGCGGGCATGCAATGAGTGGCGGGAAAGAAGCTGGCGCTGCGCTAAAGCCCACGTCCAGCTGACACACCCAGGCTGAGGAGGAAATTGTCCAACGCCAACTACAGACAATTCAGTAGAGTGTGAACGTTCAGTGAAGGATCGGATCAAAACATAATGAAAAAATCAGCGCGCTTCATGGGGCGCAAGTTCCGCCCCAAAAGCTTGCAGCGGGTTTGAACGCTTATTCTTCGGAACGAAGGAAGCATAAGACCTACCTCGGTTAATTTCATGCTAGGAATGTCGAGCCGGAGACGTTCATAGCGGAACTCGGTCTCATATAACCATGGTGGTCAGTCTTGTGCAGGAACAGCCGGCGGAGTTCGTAAAGCATAGCCAACGTATTCCATTCGCAGGACTCGTGATGGCATTCTGGTTTCATAAACTTTATGCGCTGCTTGTTTTTTACGACCCTACAACGAAGCCTCCGTTAGTCTCATTTTGGCCATAAATTTGTCCCCGGGGTAGTTTGACGCCTTGAAAACGAGTGTCGCAACCTTTGGCACGAAATCGCTTACCCGCGTTACAGACCCGGATAGCGAGGTACCCTAGACAATCAGGTTGGCTGACATTTTCATCCTAGGAATTACGTTACCATGTCCATCTAACCTAGGATAACTCCTAGGATGAACTACGGGATTTCTTCATCAAGGAAATTCCGAAAGTGAACAAAAATACAACAATTTTGAAGCCCGGCGCCAAGTTAGGAGCCGTGTCAGCCGGTCAGGATGTCTGCCAACCACCAAGCTTTCCTCCTCCCTTATTTCTTAATCATTTCTTGTTTTCGTTTGTTTTTTTTTCGTTTCTTCTCTGTTCTCTCTCCCTTGTTTTCTCCCCTTCGATGTTCGGCCTAAACAAGGAAGGATAAGTACTTCTGGATCATCGTAGCAGGAGAACACCCTGTTGATAGAAGCTCAATAACCGTGTCAGCAATTTCCTTCGTAGTTAGTGCGGGTACCTTCAGCGCGGGGTCAAACGGGTGTGCTTTGCGTGTAGAGAGTCAAACCATCTCAGTGGAGGTGTGTTGTAATGGGTGGTTTTTTCTTCAAAAATTAACAAAGAAAACTCGGTAGTCTGAAAGATAGTGGCTACTACCTCTCTACATGTAAAACTTCTCAAAGACGCTCAATTAGTCTTTCATAATTTATTATCATAATCAATATTAGTAAATTAGAATATGTTCATTAACAAAATCATCTTCATTGAACAAAACAATTCCAAATACAAACAATATGGGGGCGCAGTCCGGCTTGGGAGGGGCGTTGTGCACTCAAGTTACAACTTTGATGAGCACTTGTAAACTTTGTGTAGATGCAAAATGTACAAGTGAGCCACTTTAGCTACTGGGAATTCACATGTCTTCACAAGGTGGCCTGAACTGGCTTCACCAAGTAACATTTGCTGCCCCAGCAAGCCGAAATGCGCCAAAATGCGTAAGTAGATCCTGCAAAGCCTCCGGTCCAGGAGGTCCACGTTGCCACCACGCTAAGAAATTAGCTGGTATTTCCATGCCAGCCGTTACTGCTTTAGCGCGTTCGCGTTAAATCAATTAGACCCTGATGCGACAGCATATGCACTCGTCCATGGCAACACTTACAATGTCGCTTTCGTCGCGTCATCGCAACGTGGACCTCCTGCTACGCATTATCTTGTAGATGACAAAATACCCTCTGTAGACTTAAAATCAGATGATGTAAAAAATAAATAAAAATATTTGGATATACTCTCAAACAACTGCAAACAACAAAAGTAACAAGGAGTTGAAGTGCATCGGATGCATCACAAAAAGAAGGCACAGAGTAAAAAGTTAACTAGAATCATCTTTTGGCTTTGTAATTTGTACTGCAGTTACCATGTATGAAACTGTACGGAAAATGCCTAAAAAAATGCCTGAAATGTTCTTAAATGGTCAGGAATCCCAAAAATCTCGCTTACAGCCTATGGGTAAGTGGTCGTTTTATGTTTCCGAGTTCGGAGAGCGTGGAAACCCCCAGGTATACAGTGGCATGCCTACGCAGGTTTGACTGCGTTTGCTAAAGTACCCTTAAACGCCATTTCAATTTTGATTGGAAGTCGCATACATGACGTACTCCAAAAATCGCTTGATCAACGCCAAGCGATTTAGTGCTGCTCACTGTATATAAGTTACAGTACATACAAGACTAGTTATTTAATTGTAATTAAGGATATGATTCTTTAGAAAGACCATGTGGGAGCAGACTAGCTATCAAATGCAAAGCACAGTTAACAATTTAGTAAGCCCCTTTAAGGTACATGCGGTCTAGCACTAGTGTTAATTTCGCTCGCATAAAATCGATAATCGTCCCTTAGCATGTACTTCAAGGTGTTAAAGAGACCGTAATTGCAGTCTTGTTCGCTGTGGATGCTAGGATATTTCAGGTGCGGGTTTGGGGCAGCGCCAGCCCGCTTTCCACCAAACTTTGAAGAAGACAAGTGACAGCAAATGGAAAACGCGCAGGCGCAGGAAAACCCAGATATTAGCAGAGATTCCTGCATTTGCAGCTATAGATTCCTTTGTTTTTCAAAGACTAAGAAGGAGTGATTAGGAAGTGGAAGGGACTGATCAAGAATAGAAATACTTACAGTCCTCATCACTACGGACTGTCGGGGCGGCACAGCCGCGCTGCACTGTGACGCGACAGCGGCTGCGGCTCGGTGACGGCGAATCAGCTGATTTCCATGGAATTCGGCTGCGAATTCCCACTTTTTCAACTCTTCAAGCTTCGAAAGTGGAAGGTGAGTTATTTTGAACAATTTTAAATTGTACTGGCTCTGAATGAATCTGAAAGAATGCAAGCCATTTGAATAAATGCCTGAAATAAGGCAAAATACAAGGAAAAGAGCATAATAATCGACATAAAAATAAAGGAAATCAGAGCCAGTACAATTCAAAATTGTTCAGAATAACTCACCTTCCACTTTAGAAGCTTGAAGAGCTGAAAAAGTAGGAATTTGCAGCCGAATTCCATCGAAATCAGCTGATTCACCGTCACCGAGCCGCAGCCGCTGTCGCGTCACAGTGCAGCGCGGCTCAGCCGCCCCGACAGTCCGCAATGATGAGGTGTATTTCGGAGCCCAGTGAAAACCGCTGACCGTTTCTTTTTTTGAGTTCTGCAAGTAGGAGGTCAACAACCTTGACAAATGGGCGTAAAAAGAAAACAACAGTGGTAAGGAAACAAAGTGCATTCAATCCAAAACAGTGATTGAATTTTGAGAAGTTCGATGTTTGGGCAGTCACAGCACCCTCAGCGTTTGTTTCTCGGCGACTGGAATATATCATCGCCTCAGTGTCACTCAGTTCCTATCACAGAGCTGGTGGAAATTTCCAGAAAATCAAATGGTTAACGGCATCATTGGCGGGATCTTGAGTGCCGTTCCGATCGTCCAGGCCTTCTCCACAAGTGACAACGAGGAACTGAAATTTGAATTTATCCGTCGAGAAAAAGATTGAACCTTGAAGGGAGTAGAAGCAATTGAACGAGCATGAGAATTCACCGGTGATGCCTGCTGCGATGGTACGTTGAGGGACATTCGTTTCACTTTTCGATTCGTTGCCAAACCAACCGGCAGAAGTACCCGACAAGGTCCAGCGTGTCCCATCTCACGAACTTGAACGAATATAGCATTAATTGTAACTCACAATTAAAGGCAATTCCCGCGACCACACTTCATAGGTAATACAGTTCAAAAATAGAATTGCCCTGTGATTGTTGACTTATTGAAGAGAAGGAACCACGAAAAAGCGCCGCTACATATAGAGGAATGGCAGAAAAGCAAAGGGGATAGAGCAGCGGGCTACTATACCATTTGGAAGCTAGTACCTTAAGCTGTGTATCTGTGAAATTTGGCGAACCTAGCCCAGAAGAAGTTCTCGAGAAATTGAAAAGAAGCCCGAGTGGTGAAAATCGGCGCCGGTTTTTCAAAATAATGGAAATAGCCTTCAACTCACTCGTCAACGGTGGAATCGGTTGCGTCTTGGCACTGTGAACTGGCGTGCAGATGACAAATCCGGCCGATGTGCCAATCCAAAGTTGTGATGTGGCCACTGTGATGCAGGAAATCCTCAGAGCACCCATCTTATGCTCACGAATGATGTCTTCACGACCTGAAGAAAACTAGCTCATTGTAGCGAGAGTATGCAGCGAAACCTTATCCTGTTTATCCTTATTGATAAAAGGGGGTGATAAAGGTCTGTGGATCAATCTACTCTAGACTACCTAATCGTGTTTCATTCCGCGTCACCATCCCAAATCGTAATTTGGCGTGTGAAGCATCGCCAAGAAAACACTCACGGACACAAACTTCTGTATCCGGCGCTGTTCGGCTTGGGAGGGGCACTTTGCGCTTTCGCTAGTCCCTGTCAGATGACATGCAACAACAAGTTAAGACCTGTAAACTGCTGTGGAATATCAATAAAGCTACTGTTACTGCGTAGGTTTACAGCTATTTACAGCCCGCACCCTCTCCCTCCCCCCCCCCCAAGAGGCAGTGATCGATGGGAAGCATAATCATGATGCATGCGAACGGTAGGAAGCGTGGAGGGGTGTGAGTTGCACCACAGCGTCTCGAAATCGAACAACCTTTCTCGCCAATCCCTGCAGATTCAGGATGGTATTATTCATGGAAAGAGCCCCCCAGCAGCGTATAAATCCACGCTCCGTCGCAAGCCCTATCATTTGCAGGGATCATGACTGTAGCGAAATGCTACCCGTGCGGAACTGCGCCTTTTATCATTCTAACTCTCGAAAACACTGAATTGTACCCATGCATGGCACAGACGCGCTGGAGGTATGGTCGGGGCCTTAGCGGGTTCAGGTGTTCCAACCACTTGAACCACTTGGGATGACCAGGGCGCATCTATTTGGCTGCCTAGAATCCAGAACAGCGTTATCACATTGCGAGTGCAAGTTTATTGTTGGAAGCACGCCCTACCCCTAAAAGGGGGCGACAGAAGCAACTCAGGAACCTCGGGTTTGTGAGCGGTCTGGTTCAGTTTTTGAGGATTTGATCCCAAAGGCTCACTCTATAGACAGCGCTCAATCTCGTCGATACGAAATCTTCAAAACTGCGTTGGAAAGATCCAAAGGCACAGTCCACGCTGATTATGTAAGAGAAGACATGAACGGAATGCCCCACCCCCTCTCATCGACCCGTCTGCCCTCTTTGGCCCAGAAGCAGGGGCGCACGAAACAGGAAAACACTAAGGTTATGAATCTCCGCCTACACGAGGAGCGCGAACTATATAACTCAAAAGAACTCAGAAGTGGACTAAAAAGTGCAGTAAGTTCTAACCTGCCAGTTGTGTTCGTACACAAGCAGCTATACTGAAATGGTTGAGTACTTTCAGCGAAAAAGCATCCACCACATGAACGCTCGTCGATCGTCGTCCACAGCAGAACAGTACCGAACCGGCAGTTGCTAACAGATGCAGTGAATCCGACGTCGGCACAACGTCGACCGGTTTCTGAAACAGTATATCTGCACCTTTTTCTCAGTACGTGGTGTAACCCAAAATAGCTTTTAGAGCAGTATATTGGTATAGAGGCGCAGTGGCAGTTCCGGTGTCAGCGGTAGGAAAACTTCGAAGCTGCCACCCACCAGCGCATCTGCTGTTTTTGGAACCTCTTTTGGTTAACTTTTAGTGAGAGAAGTAAAAGGCTCAGTACTGACAAAAGCTAACAGTACCTCCCATACAGTCCCTTCAAAGTCCATGGCGTGTAGTTGGTGACCGCTCGTGAGCAGCAGCCGTCTGCCCACTTGGCACATAGCCAAAATGGGGTGAAGCAACGAGTGAGCGATCGTGACTGGCGAGTCCAACTCCCAAACTCCATCTGAAAATGGTACACTAGATTCACCATGACTTTATGGCGAAGTCCGCGCTGATCGTATAGGCGGAATGTGCCCTAACATCGCCTTCCTCGTCAGCACCTCTCCCTATGCCGTATTAGAGCGAGAGATGCACCACTGAGGATAGCATAATGGAAGGCTCTATTCCTTCCACACGATCAGCATGCTCAGCGCCTTCAAACGGCACCACTCCTTAACTCGCAATATTCCTTCTCAAAAGCGACAAAATACTTTGAATACCATCAAAAATTAATTGAAATTCCAGTAGAGTACCTGCTGAAGTGTAAAACCGTAACAACTGCACTTTAGTTGGACTTGCTGTAGCAACATAGACGTAACCAGCAGCAGAGGCGATAGAAGTGACTGGATACGGTAATCGAGCAACTCGTTCTCGCGCTCTCGTCCGCACTCGTTCCGTGGAATTCACCACAAAAACTCTGGAAATCGTGACCACATACAAAGTCTGATCGGAAAATTAATAACTGAAGGTTTCCATGTGAAGTCAGCTGGCATTCAGATGGTATCTCATGAACCCTGTGGATGTTTCACAGTTGGAGAAGGTGTGGCTAAAGAGTTACTGAATCAGGTCGCAAGCGGACACACAGTCATGTTCTCTGCGGATGCTGGCGCATCTT